CAACACTTCACAGCAGTCTGTGCAAGCCCCTGTAGGTGAAGCTGAAACAAGTATGTCTGAGCAAGCTACAGAACTTCGACAAGGTTCCCCATGACATTCTTGCAAACAAATTAGTCCAATGTGGGCTAGGCAATGCTACTGTTAGGTGACTCTGTAATTGATGGCAATCAAACCCAAAGGATGCTCACCAATGGCACCACTTCATCCTGCAAAGAAATAACTAATGGAGTGACATAGGGTTTAGTTCTGGGCCCAGTATTGTTCAACATCTTTATTAATGACTTGGATGAAGGTTATCAAGTTTGCAGATGACACCTAATTAGAAGGAATAGCTAGCTATTCCAGAGGACAGGTTTAAAATTCAAAATGACCTGGGCCAAAGTTAACAAAATGAATTTCAGCAAGGACAAATGTAAGATACTACACTTAGGCAGAAAAATGAAATGCAAAGTTACAGAAGAGGAGATCCCTGGCTTGACAACAGTACCAACGGTCTGTTGTTTACAGAGGATTCTTGTATGTGGAATATCTGACATTGGACTGTTGATGTTGGTTAGCTTACTCATGTTTGTTTGGGTTTAAGTCCTAATCAGCTGCTATGTTTACAACACTTGTTGGACAAATTCCCTAGGTTGGCTTTCCAAAATACGATTGCCTGGGATGAGCAATACCAAAATAATGGATTGCCCTCTGGGTCAATTGTTTTTGCCCAAGGGGAGACTGGGGAAGTTTTGTCTCAGGTAGAGACCTGCCCCAGCAAAAATGCCAACCAGGTTACTCTCTCCCCCTAGCAAGTTTTTCAGGCTATAATCTTGAATATTTAATAGGTGAAATAAAGTAGCCCTTATTTCACCCAGTCTCATGTGTTTGGCCTCATTATTTCAGGGTTGGTCAAAAATGGAATCTATTATACCAGAAGGCAATGGCTGAGATTGTGTTTAATGACAGCAGACTGTAAGATTTTGCCAGTTACACATTTGATCAGGGAAGTATGTGATACAAATATAAGAGCTGTGGCCTTTTGTGATAGGACCAACTGGATTGAGTGGATTGGGCTACAGTAGCGCTTGGTGAAAAGTGTAAGAGTTCCTGAATACTTCCTTGAGAAATATCTGAGAAAGTACTTCTGTTGACATAATCCCGCTATTCCTTTATAAGACACCAAGATTCCAGCCTCAGCTACTTCTTTTTGATTTTCCCTTTTTTCCTATTGTTTTATACCCTTTTAGGTGTGCACACTTTTAATATATCTTATATAGTATGATATTACACTTTATTTTGTGAATCACCTAGGGAGCTTTGGCTGGAGGGTAGGAAAGAAAAGTAATAAATAAGTAATTGCTTGCTGTTTCTCAACAGATGTTAAAAACTTTTTATTTCAACATGTTCTTCCTTTATTGGAAGTATGGTTTTCTATCTTTTTATTTAATCTCCTGTCTTTGTTTCGAGATTTTTTTAAAAAAAGTCTTCTTATGATATATGTATGTTATAATTGGCCCTAACTGATGTTACCTCTCCTGTGTGCTGTGCAAGGAGTAGAAATATGAATGTATATCTATAAATAAAACAATTCTTTATTCATCTATTGCCATAGAAGAATAAGTCATGCAAATTGCCATTTCAAATGAACATATTTATATCATGCTAGAGGTGTTTTACTTGGTTATTTGTGAGGGGTTTTGTGTTTTTGCTTCTGATGCAGAATATGTTAGAATGAGAAATAGTATCATTTCCTTCCCCTTAAACAGAAAAAACAACATTGATTGTAAAATCCCTCCAAGACATTGAACTACATTTATTAAAATCTTTTGTGTTCATTATGATAAATAGGAGCCCCCGGTGGCGCATTGGGTTAAACCCCTGTGCCCGCAGGAATGAAGACTGACCAGGTAGCAGGTTCGAATCCAGGGAAACTGCGGATGAGCTCTATCAGCTTCAGCTCCTCATGTGGGGACATGGATGATAAAACATCAAAACATTTGGGCATCCCCTGGGCAGCGTCCTTGCAGACGGCCAATTCTCTCACACCAGAAGTGACTTGCAATTTCTCAAGTCGCTACTGACAAAAAAAAAACAATTATTATTGGAAAGGTTTCGTATCTGAAAACCCTTCAGAAGCAGTTGATTTGACTGAAGCTCAGACCTTTCAGATATGCCAAACCTTTCCATTTATGCAGTGAATTAATGTGGCAAAATACTCTTTATCTTGGCATCTATTGTAGCAAGGGAATGTTTATTGCTTTTTTTGTTTTTGTGTTGTTGAAGGCTTTCATGGCCAGAATCACTAGACTGCTGTGAGTTTTTGAGGTGTATGGCTATGTTCCCGTACCATTCTCTCCTGACATTACAGCTGCATTTGTGGCAAGCATCTTCAGGGGTTTGTTCAGAGGTGGGTTTCTTTTGTTCTTGTTCTAGTTTTTTGAATGATTAAAGTCAGCCCTCTATATTCACAAAATCTGGAATCCACAGCTTGGAAATATTTTTTAAAAATCCAAAATGCAAACCTTGATTTTTGTCATTTTATATAAGAAACAGAATTTTACAACACTATTGTATATAATGGGAGTTGAGTATTGATATTGGTATCCACTGGAGCGTCAGGAATTACACCCAATGGATATTGGGGCCACTGTATATACCAAGGAGTAAAGTAATAAAACCTATACTGAATTCTAAACAATTGAATAGAAACCATGACCTTAGCATTAGATGGAGTGAGACAACCATGTCAACTGTCAGATACTGGTGGGGAAAACAGCAACAGCAGTCTTCTGGCTGTTCTTTTCTGTCAGGGAACAGATTTGTGCATGAAATGAAACTTGTACTCTAAAATGTGATACCTAACTCACCAGGTGCCTGAGGTTGCAGCATGTGGTGATCAGAGACATAGGGCATACCTCCCTGTGCTGTGTGTGGGTGCCCAGATGTTTTGGCCTTCAACTCCCAGAAATCCTAACAGCTGGCAAACTGGTTGGGATTTCTGGAAGCTATAGGCCAAAACACCTGGGGACTCACAGGTTGAGAACCAGTGGCCTGGATTCATGTAGGTGTTAGTCCTGATGGCGGAAGACTGTTTCATTGCCTTTATAAAGGCAAAATTCAAATGCTAGTCTTCCTTCACCTAAAGCAGCATAGGGTCTTGGAACAATTTTAATGAAAAACAAACTATTTAAGAAGTTATTTTGTACAAACTATGGGAGGAAATGACAATATATCTTGTTTGCCCCTCAACAGCCATTGAGTGTGGAAAACAGATGGGTTGATTGATGGTGGATATTTTAGATCTCCTTTTTCAGTTATGTTTTCAATTTCATCAATGTCATCTTTTCCTCTAACACTACAGGACTCCATTTATAATCCAATCTCAAATATTAATAAAATAATTGACGTCTAAGAACTCCCAAGAGGTGAACAGGAAATACACTGCTATGAGACTGTTTGTACATTTTAATTACTGCTTGCCCTTTGCCATATTTGCCATAGACTGCCTCTATTGCCTGTTGGGCAACCTTGGGATAGTGATAGCATGACAACAATAAGAACAGATAGCAAGGACGGTGGATGACACCGCAAGAGTGAATATTTTTGTGTATCTTCAAAAAGAAAGAAACCGGCCACTACATACTGACTATATACTGGCATTTTCAGTAAGGAATGTTTAATGTGTTATTGAAGAACTAAATATGAATTCATGATGCTTGAGGAAAAGCAATGCATTCAGAATCATGACACTTGAGATTATCGAATGAATTTGTGTTCTCTGTTCCCAGGTTTTATTATTTTACATTTTTTCATTATTGTAGGTTTATTTTCACAATTAACTATATTTTGCAAGAGAGAGAGAGAGAGAGAGAGAGAACATTCAAAGGCCAACAGTCTCTTTGATCTCTGCTACTCCAGAGGGTAAGGGTGAATCTAATAGGATTAAGGTACAGGGATCTCATACAAGGATCTATCTCTTCTGACCGGATAGTTTAATGATAAATTTTTAACTTCCACTTTATGTCTAACTTTTGTTTTGTGTACTTTTATAAGTATTTTATGGAAATATGTTTTAATATGCGTATTCTAAGGAGTGTTTTTAAATGATTATGTGTTTTGATTATGTGTTTTAACAATGTTGTAACCTTCTCAAGCTGTGAGGAGAGGCAGGTAAGAAATATAATAATAATAATAGTAATAATAATAATAATACCAACAACAACAATAACCACAACTAAAATCTGATCTCCTTTGTTTCTTCTTTGTGCATTCCCCAGTCAATAATAGATACAAGTCAAGGGATGGTGATTTGTGGGTAAAGAATGATCAACTCCAAATGTCCATCTGAGACATTGCTGCCTTTTGTTAAAATATTTTTAAGAAATCCTATTGGAGATGCTAAGTTTAAAGAAGTTTCTGTGTCCCCAAGAAATTGCCCCACCTGTAAACTCAGATTGCTTCATTCATATTCCAAAGCAAGTTGGGTGAAAGGTCAGCATCTTTTTTGGGCTTTTTGAACTTGAAAAAAATCAAGTCTACTAATTTATATTACCAAAAGTGGCAACAAAGGCAACAACTATGATATTGGATTAATGGAATATTCTAGCCTGAAGAAGTACTTGGAAACTATTAAATTCATAATTAAATCATTTTATTAACATACCTGGTCCCATTCGCAAGGCCTTCAAAACCTCCTCCTCGGTTTTGAAGGCGTTGTGAATGATGCTTTATTTGGGAAGTTGTCAGCCTGATAGTGGGGCATGGTTCCTTCTTGCGTGTTGGCCATTTCAAGGTGGACAGTAGAATGCCCAACAGACATTAAATTTGACAACATTTTTTTTGCAATGCACACCTTCAAAATTGAGGTGCGCGATACAATTGATGGTGCATTATACTTGAATAAATATGATGAATATATTGGATATCTAATGCTAACATATGGGGAAATATTCATCTCCCGCTAGGCAGTTTGTCTTGACCATTCCAAACCATTGATATATCAAATTAAGGCAAAGTACCTGGTCTAGAAGCTCTTGTACAAATCCGCCCATTTCCAGAGAAATTTGTTGGACATCGACCACAGAAGTATCCAGTATCTGGAGGTTTTCGATCAATGCATACAACTCCAGGAAAACACGGTCTGCTGGCACAATTTGTAATAGATGGCAGAATTGCGACACGACCTAAAACAGTATCCAAAAGCAATTTCTTTAATATTAAACTATCAGCTGTGAAGTTAATTAAAAAGTTACGCAGAGAGCAAATATGAGCTTTGGCCAAGGCTTTCTGTGACTTTTCACTGTTTTAAAATATAATTAATGTTGGATGTCCCAAAATGTGTGCCAAGCATAAGAAAACCCTAAAGGCATAACATATCAAACCAGCTGTTTCTCATTAAGACAAGATTTATTAGCCCTCTAATTACATGTTTTAAAGTTTATTATTCAAAGGTGCTTGGCATTTATCAGGGGCGAAATAGAAATGGTAATTTCTGAGTGCTATGGAAAGGTTATGTAAGTGGAGAAGCTGTATTAGTCAAGGGGGCAAACTATACATTTCACTGCAGGCAAGCACAATGAAGCTCCCAATGGTTCCTTCTTCTCTACAGAACATCTGCTGGAAGGGTGCTTTGAAGCAAATAGAGAACACTGGAGCAGGAAGTAGATAGAGAGCAGTGGGAAAAGAAGAAACCTTCCCTTTTTAGCCTGCATTCATCTGATATTTTCCTCCCTTCCTGAACACTTAAATACTCCATGGTGCGTGTTTACTTTACAAAAACAGGATCAAAGCTTGGAAAAGTTACTTTTTTGAATCAAAGCTTTCAGAATTTCTCAGGAAGTAGTTATGGCCATTGCCCACGTTGGCCAGGAAATTCTGAAGAGCTGTACTCCACAAAAGGAGTATCTCCAAGCTCAGCTCTGGAATCAGACAGGAGTAAAAGAAGTATAATGATAGAGAGAAACTAGGGGCTTGTTCTGTGTAATGTTTGCTTGTGGGTGATTTGCATAGAAAACACTATTTTCTAAAGAGAGAATAATATTTCTGTACAGAAAATGATCTTTGCAAAATTACAAATGGACTTCAAAAATTGTGTGGATTTTAAATACATTTTTCATAATAGAAATAAAAATTGTCAAAATTATTTCTGGCTTCCTTCAAGAAAAAAAAGTGGAGAGTACCCATCCCTACTTATCCAATTCATTGCTGCCATCATTGGATGACAGAAAACCCTTTTTGCAGCAGCATCATGGATCAGCATGGATATTCATCATGGGTCAGCATATACGAAGATTTTTTTATTGTGTCAGACAGTCAGAAGCAAATTGATAATATACTGCAAGTTGCCTCTGGTGTGAGAGAATTGACTGTCTGCAAGGACATTGTCCAGGGGATGCCTGTGGGAGGCTTCCCTCATGTCCCTGCATGGGAAACTGGGGCTGACAGATGGGAGCTCATTCCATTTTTAGCAGATTTAAACCACAACCCTCAGGTCTTCAGGTCAGCAGTTCAGCTGGCACAAGGGTTTAAGCCATTGTGTCACTATGGTTCTTTTATACAAATATGAAGGCCACTTGTAAAAGCTAGCACTTCTGCAGCAAGAACAACCAAGCTGAGTAGAGACCACAATGCCAATGGTGATCAAGAGCAGCAACAATGAGTAAGGATGGAAGGCAATCTAGTGCAGATACACACATGGAGTTTTTCTCTCAAACTGTACTGAACTGGTTTGTGCATAGGGAAGAATGTACTGTTATATACATGACTGAGCTGGTGCTATAAACATGTTTTAGACTTCAATTCCAATCAGCTCCATCCAACATGGGCAATGGTCTACAATCATGGAAGTGGTAGCCTGTAACATCTGGGAAGTGCAAGCTGAATATCTCTTATCCAAAATGCTTAGCATCAGAAGCATTTGGGATTTTGGATATTTTTTTTTCAAATTTGGTATTACCATACTTGTTTATATATATGTATTGTAGACTCAGTTAAAATCGAGCCCAAGCAACTGAAACTCTCAAGAAACTCTCAAGAAATATTGTTTTAAACAGAACTGTTTTTATAATGCAGTAAAACTGTGTTACATTAAGTTAATTTTCTCTTTGTCTAAATTGGCTTTTAATTACTGTTTTTATAACTTAATATTAAGTCCATGATTTTGTCCCTGAAATCTGTCTGCATGGAGATGTCCTGATCTTACTGGGAACATAGTTGATATGCTCAGAGGAATGGTTGATAAAGACTTTAATAAAACAATTGCAAGGTTCAAAACCCGACTCCTCCTGATCTAACTGGCAAAAGTTTCTTAAAAGGTTGGGGATTTGATCTAACTGTGATCTTTGCCAAATTGTCTGCTGTCTTTTCTTCTGTTTGCCGTCTTTTTTTTCTGTTCTCTGTGTCTTCAGCAAAGCCACTTTGCTTACAGAACCAACTGTTTAATTGTTTAGCTTGTATTGATCAACCCTTACCTATCAACTTTGATGCGAAATATTTTTAGCATCTTCACTCCTGGTCTAATGGCTGATTTCTAGAGATGCAGCTGAGTCTATCTGAGAGGCTCCGCCCCTGGGGAAGATTGTGAAAGGGGATATCTTAAAGGGAACGGGGTAACTCTGGATCCCTCTCATAATAGCTATTTACAATATGCAGGCTAACCTCCCCTACCAAGGAGGAAAACAGAGGAGGTTTCTGTGGGGGCATGACATCCATACAGACATTATGGTACAGTATAGTATATGATATAATATTAGTGAAATCTATTTTAATAAGAACTCTCAAGCAACCAGTAACTACATTTATCTGGCCTCTACCAATTCCCATGTGTGCCAGTTAACTGAGAATCTACTTTTCATAATAAGATATATCAGAGATGAGACCCAAGTATATCAAAACATTAATTTATGCTTCATATGCACATAGTCTGAAGGAATTTTTATACATAATAATTTTAATAATTTGGGTTAAAACCATCTTTGTGAACATTGAACTATCTCTGTCACTCATGTGGACATTTTTTTATTTTCGAGTATTTTGGATTTTGGAATTCTAAATGAAGAATGCTCAGTCTGTACTAGATAGGAAAACTTAAACTAGTTTAACCACCTTTCATTTCATGAGTTAGGAAACCAGACAAATCCATGAGCACTGATTAGACGTAGCTACTAACCTTATGGGGCAGGTAGTCCTTTGCACCTCTCCTTTAAATATCCCACCCATTACTTTCAGAAACATAAGCACAGTCTGCCTCTCTATAATCAATCATATTCGATATTCTGACCTAAGCTGTAAAGGGAACATTTTCTTTTAAAGTGATTCATACATGTTGATCAAGCTCTGCGTTTATATTTATAGGCACTAGCCGCTCAGGAGACTAATTTAATATAACAGTGATGACATCTTTGTGCATCAGCTTCAAACTCTGAGAATAAAACCTTTGACACTTATCTAATCACACTACACTTACCATGCACCTTACTGGCATTAACATACTTAATTGCAGGCAAGGACTTTGCTTCTTTGGCTTTCAGTGACGGGTTGCCTTCACTGTTTTCCTGTTCACCTTTACTATTATGATTATCAGCAATGAAAACTTCCATCACATCAGCAGTGTCCTCAGCTGTAATAAAGAACAACAGAGGTGAAAAAGGCACGGTGCTCATTTTTGCAGTGATTGGAAGTAGACATGAAAACTAACATCAAATCAGCTATGCCTTCCAGGTTGTTTATCATGGAAGAGCACAGAGGAGCAAAGGTGATCAAACAAGTCAGCATCTAGAGTCTCCTGAAAACAAGATCTCAGTTTATTATGCCTATCCAAGTAAGGCCATGCAAAGAGATGTAGGCAGTAGATTTTGATGTTGCAATAGACTTTAAGCAGCAACCCAAATGATACATTATCTTGACCACTTTAAAAAAATTGTACTGGCCCTCTTCCATCTGTAGCCCATATTTATAGAAATGGATGGTTGCCAAACTACACTGCAGCGTCTCTAGCCAGCAGCTGGCTCAAGAGCAGTACTTTGGACACTCTTGCTTAAATTGCTCAAGGAAGTAAATCAAGTAAATTGTCCATTGGAGACTATTTAAAATATTAATTTCCTCCAATAAGTTAGAGACTGAATATTCCACTTGGAGCCATGTTTCAAAGCAATTAGCTACTGGCTGGCTTCAATGAGAAATTATGGGTGGGTGTTCTCATCAAATGATGGAAATAATGACTCATGGTGGCGCTCTGAGTTCAGGTTAGTAAGAGTTAACCAACTGTAAGTAAGGGAGAAGAAAAGAATCATTGCACATGAAGCCCTACAAAGATTTATGGAGCTTTGGTATGGGTGGCGTGATGAAGTTAAAGCACAAAAGCCTTAAGTAGGGATGAAACACCGGCTTGAAAAGGAAGAACCACTTCAATTTAGGTTCAAAAAGTAATAGCACCCAGAGTCATTTTATATTTCTGGTGCTAATCTGCCAAACAAAATAAAATATCCTAAAAGAAGGAGACAATACTGATTTGATGAGCAAAATCACATACGGCAGAACATGGGCTATGTTAATTTCACAACCAGGAAATTGTATGTCAATAAAGTCCACATCTGTGGAATGTCTCCCTTACCACCTCCATACCTGGGCTGTTTTCATTTTGATTAAATTAAAGTGACCCTTTTTATGAATTTTATTTCCAGTGTACATTTTTAATTTTTTTTTACACATTGCATGTATATTTTCTCCCACTACTTTATGCATATTGTATGTACCATCTTGCACATTTTTGAAATATGTGCATGATTCAATTGTGCATGTGTTTCTGAACACATCAGCAACCAGCCACAAATGTTCAGGATTGTAAATTGTATTCCTGCTGCAAATACTGCAGAAAATTCAGACTGAGGAAAGTCTGCACAAATTGTGTGTTGGAGTAGATTTTGTATGCATTCCTATAGACCACCTGCATTAAAACAGCAGTTAGTGTGCCAATGTCTATTGAAATGTTATTATTCTGGTCAAACACACCACATCAAGTGATTTTAAATTTCATTTTTTAATTCAAAACTACTCCCTTTCCTGTATCTGCTAGAATCAGTTTTATCCTTGGACAAAACCAAGCTTCGTTCTACTAACAAAATTATCCTTATTTATTGTAGTGCAAAAAAAGTCACCATAACATCAAACCTGGAAAATATTTGTTAGCATTGCCATTGTGATTCCCTTTATACATCTCTTGTGACCACATCTCTTCACATATAGTGTTGCATGGCAGAAGCAGACTTGCCTAGGGCTTATACTCATCATCCTATAGCATGGTTGGGTTGATCAAGACTGGAGGTTTCTTGATTCATTTAGAGATTTCCTGCATCATTTAAGTTTTATCAAGGGAAAAATCTTGCCATGTCTAAATTACACACATTCACAGTAATCTTGGCAAAATGAGACTTGCAGAGCAAATCTGCAAACATTTAGTAAGCCTCCTTGGGAAAGCTTATCAAGATCAAAAGAGCAAACATTTTTGTCTTCAAAGTTTTTGCAACATTCACACAATATAACAGGTGTTTTTTCTAGGCAAAACTCATGTCTTTTTCTTTAGTAAAGCTGAGCACAGAAAGAGAGAGATGGAAAGGGAGAGAGCAGATGCAAAAGGACAGCATGATTGATCACACAGACACAACCAACCCATCCAATGAAACTATTTTACTAGTTCACGCAACCAAGCAACTGTTATTGAATTTTTAATTTTACAAAAGCGTGCTATCTTGTAGTGGCTCACAAAATGAGTTTTTCCTATTTACTGTGCAAGGACAAATCAAGTTGGGATTTGCACCTCTAGTGTTAATATTCAGAACCATAACTCCTCTTTATCTCAGATTATCATCCTAGCCAGTCCTCGGGAGTCAATACAAAATTTTCCATGAAAATCACAATTTTCATTCTTCCAGTGGAGTTGTTCATTTGGGCTGTGTAAAACTGTTCTACTAGGAAAAAAAACATTTTAAAATCATCAGTATATGCAAATAAGCAACTAAATTTTGGCTAAGGGCAGAATGTTTCTCGGGTTTAATTGAATCTTCCTTTTCTCCAGTTGCAGTTAATAGAATTAACCCACACAAAAACCCAGATACACTTCAAGGCAGCCACAAAATACTCTGCAACAAAGCAGTGGAAGGGGAGACACTTTAGAAAACAGTTTATACCAAGCATAATCATAACTTGAACCAAGGGAAGATGTAATCAGCCCTACAATGGATGATATATTGATTCCAGGATTCCTCAATTGTAAGCTATTGTTTTTTCTCCACCCCACCAGCTTCCCCATACAAATGTGCAAGCTGCTGTTTTCTTTTATAATCAGCCAAAGAAAGAGAGCAGCGTTGGGTCGTTCCCTCTTTAGTTCATTTAATTTCTTTCTTCTCTACACTGAAGGTTAATAGACGTGTATACATGAAAAGGAAAAAAATCAGGAAGGCAGGTGGCTTGAATCTCAGGAGTGTTTATAAATTGTTTTATGCATAATGAAGTGAATGATTCATTAAACACCCCACAGTAATACCAGCTCAGGGAGCTCTGAGCATCACACTCTATTCTTGGGGTCAGGTTTAATCCATGCACGCACAGAAATGCAACTATTTTTCCTCTCTCTGCACATTTGTGTAACTTTATTATTATTATTTTTAAAAAAGAAATAGGAAGTTGTTTAAAGGTCGTATAAGTTAAGAAATTAGAAGAAAGTCACAGCCTAAAGTATAATCGCTTTTTTTCATGTCAGGAATGACTTGAGAGACTGCAAGTTGCTTCTGGTGTGCGAGAATTGGCCATCTGCAAGGACATTGCCCGGAGGATGCCCGGATGTTTTGATGTTTTACTATCCTTGTGAAAGGCTTCTCTCATGTCCCCACACGGGGAGCTGGAGCTGACAGAGGGAGCTGATCCATGCTCTCCCCGGATTTGAAACTGTGACCTGTCGATCTTCAGTCCTGCTGGCAAAAGGGTTTAACCCATTGTGCCACTGGGGGCTCCTATGACCATGTTGTGAAATACAGATTATGATTTAACAGCAACATCAGAAAAAGTAGTGTGATACTAAAGAATCATCATATGTGGCTGGCTATGATAATATGTGTATACTAGTCTTCCCCCTCTAGGAAGTTAAGTCACATTTATTGGAGTCACCATCATGTAAGAGTCAGAGGTCACAAGTGACCACTGACCAATGAAGGTGGTCAGTTTGGGGAAGCTTTAAGGTGTTTCTGTGAAGATGCTATAAATAATGTCTTAAGGGCCACAAGGGAAGAAGGAAGCACAATGTGAATTAAAAGAGATTTGGGGTTGTGGCCACAGCCTGATGCCTGGTTATGCTGGACAAAAGGTCCAAACTCAGAACTCCCTCCTTCATGTGAACATTCCATTTTAAGAAATTAAGAGTACAATAGGGAACTGTTAACTAGAAGTATTAGGAAAACGATCTCAGTTGAATATGAATCTGGGCCCATTTATATAGCTACCAAAAACTAGGACTGGTTCAAATAATTGCTATTTTGGACTATTCCTAGATTAGATTCTGTTGAGGTGTTGATACCTCTCCATCTCAAAACTGCAGAAGTGGCAAGAGTGCGGCCTTGACCCTTGAGTCAAGTCAAACCTTTACTGGCTCCACTGGATGATCACCTTTATTTTTGCATCCTCTGTCACTGTAGTGTTGAGCAAGGAGCTCCAAAGAGGTCCTGGCCATTGTCAGGTGCCTTTACCAATGTCAGCAAAGGCATTTGCACAATTTGGGGAGGAGAAGGGAAAGGAGAGGGCATAGATGGTTTTTCTGTCACTGGGAATGATACCTGGTAATAGCTAAGAACACTCTAGGGCTCTGTAGCTGCTGCTGCAGTGCAAAAGGGCACAAAAGGCACGTGTCATTCYCYTTTTCCAATGCTGTAAAGTGCAGGAAATATGGGATGGCAGCAGTGGCCTGTGAGAAAAGCAGGACTATTTCTGAATTGGAAATGACCTAGCTTTTCACAATCCCCCCCCCCCCCAACAAAGTGTAGGGTTTCTCCAGGCCATTCTTTGGTTTCTGCGAACATGGAGTAAAATTGGCAATCTAAGAAAACTTTTTACATCTTAATTTATTTCAAGTATGGAATACAAATTTATATTTAAAAAATCAGTCAAAAATGGTTGCTGCTTTTGTGTCTCCATTCTTCTGCTAGCAAGCACAATTTTGTTGTTCATTTGTTCAGTCACTTCCAACTTCATGACCTCATGGACCAGCCCATGCCAGAGCTCCCTGTCGGTCATCACCATCCCCAGCTCCTTCAGAATCAAGCCAGTCACTTCAAGGATACCATCCATCCATCTTGCCCTTGGTCGGCCCCTCTTCCTTTTTCCTTTCATTTTCCCCAGCATACTTGTCTTCTCTAAGCTTTCCTGTCTCCTCATGATGTGGACAAAATATTTCGTCTCTGCCTCTACTATCCTTCCCTCCAATGAGCAGTCAGGCTTTATTTCCTGAAGTATGGACTGGTTGGATCTTCTCGTGGTCCAAGGCACTCTCAGAACTTTCTTCCAACACCACAGTTCAAAAGTACCTATGTTCCTTCGCTCAACCTTCCTTATGGTGCAGCTCTCACATCCGTA